AATTCACTTTTTCATATTATAATTTTCATTTCTTATACTCATTTTTTTTTTTTATCTCTTCTAGCTAGATAAATCCTCTCAAATATTATACGTTCTTTCTTTATTTTTTTTTCTTTTGATATTTCATTCATCCATAACAATATATATATATATATATATATATATATATATATATATATATATATATATGATAAGAAATATCATATGTTGCATATTGAGTGGTGTCTTGTTTTATCTTATTATTTATTTTGTAGTTAGATTTTGGTATATTTATTATTATGATTCTATATGGGTTGTTTATGATTAGTTTATAATGGGGTGATAATATTGAATAGAAGAATGATATTATAAAGGGATCTTTACTACTTCAAACATTGTTAGACATAAAATACGATACGAAGAATTTAAAGATATATGTTATGCATGTATTATAGTTGAAATTTTTTTGAGATGCTTTTATCTATGCGTATTATCAATGAATATTGTATGTATGTACACATTCATCTATACCTACACATATATTATATTTTCAAATATATGTGGTTATTTAATTTTCCATGTAATAACAATAAATATAATAATAATAATAATTTTTTACTTTGTTTGCGTACATGTATTAGCATCATGTGTTGACAAAACTTAATGAACTATCTATACATACATTTGTTTTATTTAGAGTAAACTACACGGATGGTCCATGTGGTTTGGGGTAAATTGCGTGCTTGATCCTTAACATTTTTTTTAATTCGGATAGTCATTATGGTATGTTTTTGTTGTATTGTTGGTTCCTGTGTAACATAAAAAGACTATTTTGCCCTTAATAATTTCTTTTTAATTTATTTATTCATTGTTTATGCTTTTATCCTTTTTATATTATTAATATATCAAAAAAAATATTAATAAATAAAAAGAAAATAATGATTTGAATCTCACCCCCTTCTTCACCATATCTTCTTCCACCATCACCACCAATACCGATCACATACATCACTGGCGATCACCATCTTTGACTAATTTCTCCGACAACCAGAAAATATCATCCATCTCCATTGTCTTGCAAAAAACCAGCAACAAATAAAAATGACTAAATCCAACACAGATTTAAACCCCATGCTAAAAAATGAACCGATTAAACCCCTTGCAAAAAACCTGCAACAAAACCTTGCAAAATAAAAATTCCAAAAGGGTTTTAGAAAACTCATGCATCTAAGAAATCGATTTTGTTTCTGTAACGTCCCAAAAATCATAGTGAAAATTTTCATTTTAAAATACATATCCATAAATCCGCAAGTTACCAAAACATTGTTTACAAATCATAATAAGTCGAAATATCGAATTAGAGTAATAATCAACATAAACTGCGAGATGATGTGTACAATCACGTCTTCGCTTTTCTCCGCTCATCAGAAGTACCTGAAACATTGAAATCTAAACTGTAAGCCAAAGCTTAGTGAGTTTCCCAAAATATCCCACAACAAATACAGATACAATACAAGCATGCATACAGGGTTTGTTGGTCCTTGACCTCAACCCAATCATATTGGGTTTGTTGGTTTACAACACAAAGCAGTAAAACCTAAACCCAACCGTCTAGGGTTTGTTGGCATGTGGTCTTAACCCAACAATCCAAGTTTGTTGGCTCGTTGCCTCAACCTCACCATACTGGGTATGTTGACTTCCAGTCTCAACCCAACCACATCGGGTTTGTTGGCACATGGCCTCAACCCAACCGTGCATATGTTGACATATACAAACAAAGCACACATAGAACTATCATAGCAATCCTACATTCTAGGATATATATGAATTAAATAAATGGGTCTGCCTTGGTGCCTTAGACCCATTGGCATAGTGAGAGAACTCACATCTTAGTCCGAACAAAAGCTGAAATAATTATCGGCTCCGAATACCGGCTCTACCCGACACCTATTATTCAAAATATTGCCCAACTTAAATTAAAACCAAATTACCCAAAATACCCTTTGGTCAAATTGGTCAACTCAACAACCCAACCGAGTCGACCCAGGCCCGTACGCAGGGCGTACTCAATTGCTGACCAGAAACGGGGCTTTGACCACGTACGTGCAACGTACCATTTGGTACGCCCAACGTACGTAGCTGGATGCTTCCCAACTCATTAAGTGCTTAATACCTAAGCCCTTACATCCAAATGACTGATCTTAGTCCCAAATGTTGTCCTTGACCATAAAGTTTCCAACTTTATGGTCTTGCATGGCCATTTAGTGATTAACACTAAAAACCCCAACATCTTAAGTCATTAAGACAACCAAACTCATGCATGGGGAAGAACTAAGGGCAAAGATCATATTTTTATCACTCAAACTACCCTAAAACGTCCAGAAGGACAACTCATTGGGTTTAGGGTAGCTCATGACCAAAGAACCATGAATATGGGGCTAATAAGCATAAACTTTTAACATAAACAAAATCTAGTGATAGGATCAACAAGTTCAGAACTTTATACCTCAAAATGAAGCTTGGAGGTGAGGTGTTCCTGGATCTATGAGGTCTTGCTCTTCCAAGTTGGTGCTTCTATCTTCTCCTTGCTTCAAAGCCACCACAAACACACAGTTTTAAGCTCAAAGGGACACACACAAGAGATTATGGCTACAATAGACGAAATGAGGGTTAGAGGCTGATGAGGGAGTGAGCATTGGGGAGTTAATGATGTTTATATAGGGTCCAAACCCTAAAAAAGTAGGGTTTGTGGATCAGGCACGTACGCCCAGCGTATGTGAGCTCGTCCCCAAAATTATAAAAATGACACTATGGTCCAAATTGCAATATTTCTCATACACAAGGGCTAAAATGCAATTAATCTTCCTATTTAGGGTTAAAATTGGAGATACTTCAACATCGAGATGTTACAGTTTCACATTTTCAGAACCAATGCCATTAACTTCCAACATTGGTTTCAGATTGAGGTAACGGGGTTGAAGTAAAGAAGGCATCAGTGGGGTTGAAGGGGTTTTCTGAGAGCTAATCGTGCCCATATCTCTGAGAACCACCAACTAAGATGAAACCAAAAATAAGATGAAACGCATAAATTAGAAATCAAAATCGAAATGTTTGAAACCCCAACCTTTTCATGAAAGACCCAGAAATCCAATGATATAGAAATCGACCTAGAAAGCAGATGACATTTGAGTACAGATCATTGATTGGAGTAGAGTGCCTTCGGGCGAGTTCATCGGTTCTGGCGGAAGCTTCGGCATAAGGCTCGACGATGGAGAAGAAGGAGGCTGGTGGAAGCTAGCTTCTATGGAAGGAATGTTGAGATTAGGGTTAGATGGATTTAATTAGAGAAGATAAAGAGGTCAATGTAGACCCATGTTTTTTATTGTAATAAAAATATATTTAAAATGATTTAAAATATATATAAAAAAATACTAAGGGCAAAACTGTCTTTTTAAGAGGAATATGGATCAAATACGCAACAAAATAAAACTTTAGGGACCATCAGAGTAAAAAATGGTTATGGACAAAATATGCAAATTACCACATACCATAAGGATCATTCGTGTAATTTACTCTTTTATTTATATGTGTATGTTAAATCAACTACAAATAAAAGACACTTTCAACATGTATGGGTAATTTCGAATTATGTCAATCATGAATTTTAGAGAAAAATTCCCCGAAATAAAATTTCATTATAAAATATCACGTACAAATATGAAGTGTTGTATGTGATTAAAAATGATCATTAACGACTACCCACATGTATACAAAATATGTTTTGGTATTTACTTACATATAACATGTAGGTAAAAACCTCAATTTTTTATAGAGTCTGCTTTTCTCCTGTTTTTTTTCATGATGATTATTGGTTTAAAGTCTGATTGGAATATTCAAGCAGATAACTTGAAACTTTCTGTTCATTGAGGCTGAGAGGCGTGCAAATCGATTTCATAGCGAGATGGTCGTCATCCTAACGTACCTCGCAAATGTGGACTATGCGACCAACCCGGTTATAATAAAAGAAATTGTCCAAATTCTCAACTAAGATTCAATGCGATGTGACCTTTGTAACATTTTTAATTAATGTTGTAATTTAGTGTTTTCTTTGTATTAATGTAAGTTTGCACTTATGTCATATTGTCATTTTTAATTGGTCTTGTAATTTCGTAAAATTGTAATATATCCAATGTGTAACTCGTAAGATCTATTTAATGATATAGATTGTTAAAAGTAATATAGAAATTGTAATTACATATTTTAAAAAAAAATCATCTGTATAATATATAATATAGATAAAAAATTAGTTATTTAATAACAGTAGTTATAATATAAGATTAAAGTTATAACATTCACGGGTTATAAATAATAATATATATACTTATTTAGGAGATAATAAAAGTGATGGCACCCAATCAAAACTAACATATTTCTACCATATAATATCAAACTGAACTATTTATATAACACCTGTCATAAACAGACCAACTTTAAAAATAAAAATAAAAATAAAAAACCCTCCATATAAAAAGCCACCTCCTTTAGATTTGGAGGAAAGTGAAAGTGAAAGTGAAAGAGGATGTGATAATGTGGAATTTTTGTTGATTTTGATGAATTTTAAAGATGACACGTTCACAAGATTTTGGCTTCTTTTTTGTTTTAAAGGGTTTGCTTCATTGGCCCAAATTCCAGGTCCTTTACCCCCACACTTTTCTGGTATAGACAATCTGTATATTTGTTCTGTCGACATGAAAATACCCAACAAAATACATGCATTTAACGACACGTAAGCTAACAAAAAAATAGATATTTTCTGCATTTTATATATATATAGTAGTCACAAAGTTCCTATTCTCTTGTCATGCTTAAAACAAAAACCAACTTCCCGACAATGCATCCCATATGACCATGTTTCATGCCATGCACGACTCTCTCTCCCTTTTTCTCTCTCAAATATGTTCGATTAATTAGTTGAAACATGATTTGTGATTAGTTTTACAAATGATTTATGTCCGAGAAATATGAGGGTGTTAGTAGAGATCTTGATGGGAAAGCTCTTCTACATTCAAGTTGGCAATAACGCCACCGTGCTAGACCTAAAGAAAGAGATCGGAGCTCAAGAAAAACTTCCCGTTGATCGGCTCATTCTGCTTATGTATGAAAAGTTAATGAATGAAAATGAATCTTCGCTTGTTGATTATGGTGTTGAAGATGGTTCTCATTTGTATCTTTTTTTCGATACCCTGAAGGATGGTTTGACTCATCAGTCCCCATTAACTACTTCTGAGTCGGTGAATTAGCTTTTAACGCAATAGTTTAGCTTCTCTTTGTTGTTTTGTATATTTGATCTAGATAATAGTATTAATTTAAAGGTCACGTGCGTTTACAAATATGCGAATGTAGTTTGTATACGTAGGCTATTTCGATCGGTAATTCTGGTTTATGAATATCGTTGCAACCTTGAGGAAACGGAACGAATTCGGTTTATTTGGATTTCGATATTAAAACTGACCAAAAAAGTTTTCTCTGAAACGACGGTATATATTCCCAATGTAGCTATGATGGCTACATAAGTATTTGGTCATTTATTCTTAGATTAATTTCATGGTTGTTTTGAGACTCGTATTAATATGATAAGCATTTTTCATGGTTGTTTTGCCCGTTGTTCCTAAACAAAATTTTGCGGCTATTCTAGAAAAAACGAAAGAAAAATATGAATAAAAAAAATTTCTTGAGATAAAAATTCATTATATCCGATAAACATACAACTAACAAATGGTAGCCAATTATATCGATTCATTTGTTGATGCACTTCTCGTAAATCCCGTCATATGTGAAGGATGAATAGCCAATTTAGTTCGTGTTTAGCAATGTGATAAATTTTTGAATGAATTCGAAATAATAATCTTTTCATTGCATTAAAAATATGTGTAATACAAAGTACTACCAAGATATAGATCATAATATTGTTGTAGTCTAAATAACGAAAATTACCCACGACTAATAGTCCCTTTGAATACGTAAAGATAATCACCATTTTCAACTCCATGCCAGCGGAGGCTACAATTTCCGCGCATGATCCTTTGTTTATGAATAAATATGTAGTCGTCAGTTGGTAGTAATTTCCTAGACAATAGTAATTCCCTTAATTCATTCACCGTGCTTGAGTCCTTCATTTCTAATGGGATACAGGTCGAGTCAAGGAGAGCCGAGGAAGTTTGAACAACAAAGCCAAGCTTACGAGAAGGAGGCTCAGCCACTAATCGGCTCATGGTCTTCAGAAATACAATGATTTCAGAGAATTCAACAACACCATAGTCACTCAAATTGCGAAATTCCTCTTCCATCTCCACTCCTGAAAAGAAAAGTGTCATTTGCTTAATTGGCGTCCCATCGATAATATGAATCTTTTCTTTAAGACTTCCTACAGTTTCTGTTCTATCAACCTCTATGTTGTGCTTTCTCGATGAAAACTTAACTATAATTTGGATTTGTCTATGGTTTTCTAAAGATAGCATATGATTGATCGTGAGATCAATTTGTGTACCTTCATTAACGATTGGATAATCCTCTAGATCAAGCCCGTCGAGTAGTTCCCAATCACATACACTAAGAGTTTGTGAAGATATAGGAACACCAAGAAAATGTTCAATTTTCCTCTTGATTTCGAGAATGGGTTCTTGCATACCAACTTCGATGGTCAATGCATATGCTCGAGCTAAAATTTGGATTTTCATATCTTTGTAACTTGTTGAAGGAACGAGATACTGCCTACTTTTGTTTATGGTTAAATCATGAATGGAAGGGTAAAAATATGTTTTAACTCAACTGTTCTAAGGCTTGATTTCAAGCCCAAATTCATGTTATAAGTATGAATGTGGTCATCTCTATGTGACTTCAATGCACACTTTTCATGCATTCATAATCATTTTATGCAAATTTCATTTGGCCTCTCTCTCTCAAATGATATATATATATATATATATATATATATAATATATATATATAATATATATATAGATATATATATATATATATATATATATATATATATATATACTTTAATAATCTACTCTAATAAATGAAAATTTTCTTGTCATATGTTACACTCTCATTCAATTTGTCACATATCATTTTGGAGTTATTTTAAATTAATTTTTTTTCTACATATTATTTTATGGGTTTTGCTATTTTTTATTAATCTCATATAATATTTTAATGTAATAATTATAAATAATAAATGTAGTAATAAAGGTATATCAATTTCATTAATGGACTTATCTTCTAATTTCAAAATTCTCAAATTAAAACTCATTAGTTTCTTTTGTTTATTTATTTAAATTAATTTTTTAAATTTAAAAGATAAAAAACACATTTAATTTTTAATAATTCATTATTTTTTTTATTATCTTATAAATTCAAAGTTCTCAATATTTAGACTTTTATATTTAACTTTTTTTTTAAATTAACTCGTGTAATACATGGGTCTCACAACTAATATATATATATATATATATATATATATATATATATATATATATATATATATATATATATATATATATATATATATATATATATATATATATATGAATTTGAGTTAGAATTTGATGAAAGTGGGTCTTTTGGATTTTTTTGTAGATTTTTGATGATTTTTGGAAATTTTTGAAAGCAAAATATCATTCCTTTTTTTCTCTTAAATTATATTTCTTATTTTTACTTTTCCTTATTTTTTGTTCTTTTAGGTTTTGGGTTTCTGGAACATTTTATGGGGCATTTTAAGCCTGACAAGAGATTTTCAGATGATGGTTACAGATCTGGGCTCAGGATTCTATTAATCTACTCTAATAAATGAAGATTTCTTTGTCATATGTTACACTCTCATTCAATTTGTTAAATGTCGTTTTGTAGTTATTTTATATTAATTTTTTTTCACATGTCATTTTATGGGTTTTTCCTATTTTTATAAATTCCACATAATATTTTAATGTAATAATTATAAATAATAAATGTAGTAATAAATGGATATCAATTTCATTAATGGACTTACCTTCTAATTTCAAAATTCCCAAATTAAAACTCATTATTTTCTTTTGTTTATTTATTTAAATTATTTTTTAAAATTTAAAAGATAAAAAACACATTTCCTTTATCATCATTCTTTTTATGTTCTTCAAGAGTCTGCCGAATAACACCAGTAAGTTTACCCAAGAGTCGCTCCTCACGAGGGGACCCTGGAGTATTTACTTCATCAGGACGAGGATCTCCACCCACTTCTGGTGTATTGCTACCTTCCTGTTCAGCCATTCTTCTGCAATATGGAGTAATATAGTATTTTAGAATATTAGGATTTATTATTACCTAATACTTTACTTAAGTCCTTTCTAAGGTTTGTATCCATATAATTATAATGAATTCGTTCATATATTGAACTTCTTGCGGTTTAAGACTAAATTCCAATCCGTGGAATTTAGTTCACTTAAACTACTGCTCTGATACCATGATTGAAAGAACCTAACTTTCATATTTCTGAAAGACCCAAACTTTCATACTTCACAATATTGTTACTCCAAAACATGCTACATGCATATTTATAAATAATATTTTACATTGATAATGTGGTTACACAAGACTGGATACAAACCGACTATTAAAAAGTGTTATATATTACATAACTTCCCATGATACTATAATTTATACATACATGAGTACCAAATACAAAAGTGATAGTTTTAAACTATTCAAAATCTTCTAACAGTATATGTCTATACTGGATCCTTAATACTTGCAATAGTTAAACACTGAGAGGGATAAACGGTGACGCTTAGTGAGTTCAATAATAGATACAATATAACGTTATGCCATATATATACATCAATATGGCAGAAGCAAAGAGGAACAACAAAGACATATATGAATCATGCGACAAGTTTTCCATACCAAATGATGATTTGATTCAAAGATATTCAACCAATGAGACATAACAATTTCAATACTTGATATACATCAATAAAGCTTCGGCCCAAATGGCACTGAAGACATAATATACATCAATTTCTGATTAAACATTTTGGTAGATTTCAGACTTTCTGCCCTGTCTAACCTTCTGCCAATGACATAGAATAGAAGTCATTCTCTTACGAGACATGCTCTACATGGCCAGAGACTACATACCAATATCACTGTGAATCTAAGTCCTTTCACTGATCACATGGTCAAAGGTATAGCTTTGCTATCATAAATAGCGAAAATAATAACAACGGAAAAGCACATAGCACATATAACACATAACATACAATTGTTTCTATATATTAAACTCACCGTGAATTAATCGGGGGTTAAAATAGTAATTTGTGCAACACTTCGTTATAATAGATAGCTTTCTTCGCTGAAAACCGGGAGCTTTATTGAAAATCAGGCCCTGCGAGGGTTGAGCTTCAAACCGAAAAGAAAAATTTGTCGGGCTCTTCGGGCACTTTGGGACGTGTTTCGGGTGTTGGGAATGATCACAGGGCTTCGGGGGAAGTTGAAATAGCTAAAAATTGGATTTAGGGGTAAAAAGTGAGAATTTTCCAACCAAAACCGGGAGATCTCGCACCTCCCTTTATATAGGGGAGGCTTTGGACCGAGGGGGAGGATAAGTGAACACGTGGCTCGCATGCGAGGTGGGACAGATGGCGCGCATGCGAGGCGAGGCAACTGGCGGTTGCGAGGCGAGGTGGCATCGGACGGGGCTGCACACGCGTCGGATCAGGAGAGGACCGCGCCTTCAGGTGCGGTGCGCGTCGACTTCTCACTGGGCCGCATCTTCGGTCAAATCAGCAGCAAGGACATGGCCGAACTTGAGCCATGCGAAATTCCTCGGTTTTAGCATTTTTCTCGAATTTTGTGTCCCAAACTTCTAGAATCCATAACTTTCGCATACGAACTCCGTTTTTGACGTTCTTTATATGCACACATAGGCGGGAATATACTCTAGGAATTTTGTTTAGACTCCGTCGGCTAATTTTGACATTATTTTTAATATTATTATTTTTAACAGACCATGACAGGAAAATCCGTTAAAAAATTCATAACTTCTTCATCCAACGTCCGTTTTCGTCTGTCTTTTTACCGTTGTACTACTATTGACGAGACCTTCGATTCTCGTTTAGGTTGTGTCGGCTAAAAATCACTCGATCTTTATTTCGAGTTTTAGCTGTCTACTGCTATTCCGAAACTTAGAAAAATCACAACTTCCTCATACGAAGTCAGATTTGGACGTTCTTTTTATGAAAATTTTCGGTTTAACAAATACTAA